GTAGCATTGCATGGGGTTGTTGTGAGGGCAGGGCCTGGCCTTGCGCTTTGTTGAACCTCACACAGTTGGCCCTGGCTCATCCATCCAGCCTGTCCAGGTCCCTCTGTAGGGCCTTCCTACCCTCCAGCAGATCGACACCCCCACCCAACTTGGTGTCATCTGCGAACTTACTGAGGGTGCACTCGATCCCCTCATCCAGATCATTGATAAAGATACTAAACAGAACTGGCCCCAGTACTGAGCCAGTATAATGAGAAAGGCTCTCTTAAGTGTGATGTACAGAGGCATGCTTCTTTTACCTGCACACTTCACCTTATGTTGATTGCACATATGCTGACTGTAAATCTCTTCCTCTTTCAGTGCAGATACTGTGCGACTGCACCAGTTTTCCAAGGATGACCTCAGACTATATCCCTATTCTTCAAATCATTTTCTGTCACAGGAGAAAGTCGTCCTTCTTCGATACTTCTATATACAAAGAGAGACTGGATATTTTCAAATATTGAATTAGCACTTTAGAAAAGTGAATCCATATTAAGTCTTATTCATGCTCAAAGATTTTAAATTAAAAAAATCAATAAAGTCAATAGAAAAACACCATTAGCACAATTTTTAAAGGTTCTACCTGCCTTTTCCTCATACTGCTAAAATTGAAATCCTAAGTACTGTCAAACTAATTGCATGCCATATTCTTCATGAAAAATATTTTAAGATCACTGTTAAACAGACATTTATATCCTAGTCCATAATATTTCAGAGCCTGCATTAAATGTAGACCAAAGACAAACAAATTACATAAAAGACTATCTGCTAATAACAGCTGTTTGACTCAAGATACTACCCATCCTACTAATGCACCACAGGAATCTAAAGTCCAAGCAAAACTTTTCATTGAAAGCTACTGCTGCAATTGCAAAGTTGTGTCTTCATCACAAAAATATTAAGAGGCAGAAATGCTGCTACTGAAATAATTAAAAACCTGGCACTTTTCATTTGGGTGATAAAACATATGTTTTCTGGCTGAATGGGTAAACATTTCAATTTACTAAGTCTGAAGTATGAGATCTTTTAATTAAGGTGCTGCATTAAATACAAAAGGATGGGATAAAATAGTAATAAAGGAATAAAAAGAGAAACTGATCTGCTTGAACTGAACAGTTGGTTCTGTAGAACAATACTGCATATGGGCTACTGAAACAGCGTAAGTAAAATAAGTAGTCAGTATGAACTCACCTTGATATTCAAATTTTTTTCCTCATTATTCTATCCTCAGCACTTGCACTTCCCCATCCCCTTTCAGGGTATTCTGACTGATGTCCTTCCAATAGACTGCTACAAAGTTTAAGCCTACAAATAAAAAAATGCCCAAAGACTAAGTGCCTTTATTATGGTAACCTTTTTCTACTAAATACAGCTACAACCTGCTATTTACTCTAATACAGACTATAGCATGAGAACACAAGGACAGAATTTTACCACGCAACATATAAATATTGGCCAACACATCCTTAAGAAGAATAGTAAAAAAAAATAAAAATCCACGTTTATAATAAAAGCTTGGATTGAAATGCAGCAACAAGGCAACTACGCTTCTAACTTAATACACAAAAAAAAGTCCCTGATAAATGAGCTGCATTTTATACCTCTCCAGCCTGCAGTCTGTATCTCTGCAAGTTTTGCTGTCAGGCAGAAAGAAGTTGGTTTTTTTCTGTTTCTGACTGTTCCATCCTGAAGAACAACTGGCTGGAACTGGGTCACTGCATAAAAACAAATAACTAATTGTTGTCAGCTCCAAAACAACTTAATCTCTCAGGAGACAGAGAAGCAGCTTTCAGCTCCTAGGCTTAGCAAGCGAGAGGCTAGTAACAACCATGGGGACCCATTCTGTAAAATGCCATCACTTTCCATAAGACAAAGAGGGTGAAAGGGGCTCAGCATCTTCCAGCATTACTTAATAGCAGAAGCAGCAGAAAGCAATAGCCGGAGAATCAGACTGGGAAAAGCCAAGTAAACTCAAGGAACACAAAGAACAACCACACGTTGCAAGGAGGAAGAAAAAAAAAAAAAAATCACATTATATTCAACAGTGAAGGAAAAGGAAGATAATAAAACCCAAGAACACCTTCACAGCACAAGCAATAAACAGAACATCACAATCATTATGGTATTTACCTCATTATTTCTATACCATCTTGTACTGTCATTACTTCATCATTTTCACCAAAGGCTTCCCACTCTGAGCACTTTGAAAAAGCCTCCTGATGTCCTGATTCAGTAAGACTAGAAAGAAAGTGAAAAGGTCTGAAACCATGGACCTTTGTATCACAGTTCCTCTTAATTCTTCTGAAGATAAGGGGGCTAAGTAGAGAGAAAAAAAATCATACCTGTATAAACATTTTTACTAAGGTTACTGTGAAAAGTCTACTAAACCCCCAAAAACTTAAATCATTGTTCCAGTTTTCTTGTGGTTCTGACAAAACTCTATACAGAGTTAAACCATGCTCTCCTCTACATAGCCTATCATTTCTCATTTATAGGAAGACTGCTTATGCAGCAGCTACAGAATCACAGAATGGTTTGGGTTGGAAGGGACCTTTAAAGATTCATCTAGTCCAACCCCTAAAGCTAGGAAGGAAGAAAAAAGGAAATATGATTAAAACCAATCGCTAGAGGAGTAGTTTAAATCCTGAACAACTTAGAATGAAGAAGGTGTTAGCCTGAAAAACTCTACCCTGCTGTTATCCATTTTTGAACATTAACTTCACCCTGTCCCAGACCGGGTGACCAATTCCTTGTTGATCCAACAAGCATTTTCTTCCATACCATCTTTCATACAGCAGGAAAAAGCTTAATTAAAATACACAAAGCTTCTTTCACATCCTTTCATGAACACATATTCTCTGTGACACCTGCAGCAAACGTAACATGGCAACAATAAAACAGGCAGCAAGGTTCAGTATTTGTTGACAGACTTATGACTGCACACTGGGCTCCATTCCTTTACCGTAACATTCATCAACTTGTACACACTCTGTATGCCAAAAAGCAGAATGCAGTGCATGTAAGAAGTATGCAAATAACTACGACAGAAACATAACAATCTCAGAATTACAACCTCTGAAGCAGAAACCAGGTTCCATGAGAAATCAAGAACAACACATTAGTGTTGCCTAAATCATAGAACCGTTAAGGTTGGAAAAGACCCTTAAGATCGAGTCCAACCATTAACCTAGCACTGCCAAGTCCACCACTAAACCATGTCCTCAAGCACCACATCTACCCATCTTTTAAATACTTCCAGGGATGGGGACTTTGTTTCCTCTCATCCTATCGCCTGTTACTAGGGAGAAGAGACCGACCCCCACCTCGCTACAACCTCCTTTCAGGTAGTTGTAGAGAGCGATAAGGTCTCCCCTCAGCCTCCTCTTCTCCAGACTAAACAACCCCAGCTCCCTCAGCTGCTCCTCATAAGACTTGTGCTCCAGACCCTTCATCAACTTCCTTGCCCTTCTCTGGACACGCTCCAGCACCTCGAGGTCCTTCTTGTAGCGAGGGGCCCAAAACTGAATCTACACACAAAAAATAACCTGTTGTGTCTTCTGACACTGAAGCTTCTTCACCTTTGCAGTGGACCACAGTAAATATTTGCTATCATACAACACAACTACTCTGGCATGATTTCCTTTCCTCATTAAATTGCACACACATTTAGATAAAATTAAAGCTATTAACAAATGGAGGGATAAATACCAGTCATATTCCAAAAGTCGGTTCATTATTATCAATGCATCTCCATATGAAGAATCATTTCATACCTTTCCAGCGTGTGGTACATATGCACATAATGGTTTTTGCTCTTTGAAACCACAGAGGAGCCAGAATGGTTTCTTTTTCTGCGTTTCCATACTGGAGAAGAATCGGGAGAACAGGAACTACAAAAATAAGACACAGATTTCACACACACAACATTTTTCATCTCTGTTTAAATGCTTATCAGAGTTCTGCAAAATAATGGCACATGCTACACAGGAAGACTTTTTTTGCAGTATGATTCTTCAGTCACAACAGAGGAACACAGAGAAAATGGCTCAAATTTTGGTAATCACTCCATTGTATTTTTGGAAAGTGAACCCAGTCACAATCGCACCAGAAGCCTGGAAGCAGAACCATTTTCAGCTCCACACACGTGCCCCCAGATCAAGGTATCTCAGTAAAGAGGGAAGTGCATGAGGTGCTTCACTGTTAGCCTCCCTGCTGTTCTGCAGACAGGCCTAACAACTATGGATTGTCACTCTTGCTTCTGAGAAAGGTATCCTGGTTTCAGCACTTGCCAACAGTGGTTATGGAAACCTCAGTACTCCACTGTATAAACAGGGAAGCTGAAAAAACACTGCCTTTTTCTGCTGTTAATCATGCAATTCTGTAATGCTGGTAACTTTTCAACATTCAGTGGTCTGTACCAGTGATGGATTACATTCAACAGCAAAAGTGCCAAACTTCGAATCTGAGCATTAACTGCCTTCCCTTACTAAACATTTCCTAAAAAAAAAAATGACAGCGTCAATATGTGTTGAATTATTTCAGTAAGTTAACCACAACAGTTTTATCTCGTACCTCTCCGGTGTGTAGTCAGTCTGACTGCACTCATCTTCACACTCGTTTCTCTTCTGCTTTTCATCTAATACAAGGGAGCCAGAAACATCCTGATCTTTGCAGAACCATTCCTGGGAACTGCCCGAGGGTTCTGTACTACTAAAAACAGAAAAGAAAAAAAAAAAAGGATTTAAAATACTACCCATCTAGCTTACCACTCCAAGCAGAAGACAGTTAAGCTGCAGTAATAATTAACAGTTCATCTCATGTGACATCCAAATGGTGCAAACAACTGCAACTTCCACCATGGGTCAATAACAACACAGCTAAAACTACACAAAGCTGTTATGGAGCTAATAGATTTCCACTCTTTTTCTTCCAATTTGCTAGTCCCAACCTTGTAAAGTATTAGGTGGTGTCAGTTAGCGGAGCTAGCCTTGTTACAGAAATTCAAAGTTCTGAAAAGATAAAAAATATTCCACCTCGAACACAGTTGCCACTCTCCTGCAGAGAGCACAGAAATCTATCTCTAATCTTCTTACACTTCTCAAATCCTCTTAACGTATTGTTATTGCAGGAGCGAGGTGGTTCCACTGACATCAGAAAAAGGAAAGGTGGAAAGGTTATCAAGGTCAAGTAACAGTAATCACTGAATTTCTGCTTATGACCTTCCCTTTCTAGAAAAATAATTTTACCTTGTGCTGACCAGTGTAAACGCACAGGGGAAGGGAGTGTCCTACTGTAGACAGATCAAAAGCCTTCCTCCCCAAAGTGCCTTATTGGAGATGAATTTAGACTAAATAATGGGAGTATCTTGAAGACTAACAGAATTCAAAAGGAAAACAAGGCATTCACGGAGACTCCCATTTCTGAACCTGATCTCTTGCTCCCAATTAGGAATGCTGTACGGGAAATACAGAGTCCTCCCGTGAAACAAGAGACAGGTGCCGACTTAATTCACCCATACACACACTGGCTGCAGATCCCAGGTTTCTTCAGTGGGCGGATCCCAGGCATGCAGTGCTATCTTCCACAGCCTGATCTGCTGGTCCCAGGATCTACGGCTGTACTTCTTAAATTTGTTGGGAGTTCTAGGATGAACTCCTGGTATTCGCTGATTCCTGTAAATACACAGCAACATTTATATTTCAGGACGTGATTTTCATTCTTAAAAAAAAATCCTCAGTCCATCAGATCACGCAAGCGTCAGTAGCCTAATAAATAAAAATTTCCTATTTTTAAACACTTAACTGCAATGGGTGTATTCTAAAACATTGACAAAAACAGACCACACAAGCAACAACTAACAATAACATGCTGAGTCAGACCAGAGGTTCATCCAGTCCAGCACTCTGACAGCTGCCAAAAGCAGATCCCTACTGCCTATGGACAAATATGGAACAGAAGCAGCATAACTCATACCCCTTCAACAGTATCCTAGCCTCCAGTTACTTCTATCTCGGTTTTCCCGAGTCAGGTGCGGTTTCTTTGTATTTAGTATTGCGCTGAATCTGACTGGGATGGAGTTAACTTCCTTCATAGCAGTCCCTGTAGTGCTGTGCTTTGGATTTTATGGCTAAAACAGTGCTGATAACATTAATTTTTGGCTATCACTGAACAGTGCTTGCACATCTTCAAGGCCTTCTCTTTTTCCCCACTCTGCCCTGCCCCTTCCTGCAGCCACTAAGTTGAGGGTGAACAAGAAGTTGAGAGGGGAAACCGCTGGGACAGCTGACTCGAATGACCCAAAGAGATATTCCACACCATATAATGTCATGCTCAGTAATAAAAACTGGGGCAGAGGAAGAAGGGGAGGTGTCTTCCAAAGTGGCCACTGCTCAGAGACTGTTGGGGCATCACTCTGCTTGTGGGAGGTAGACAGTGATTGCATTTGCATCACTTGCTTTCCCCCCACCCCTTTCTTTCCTTCACCTACTAAACCACCCTTATCTCAATCCATCAGTTTTCCCACTTTTGCTCTTCCTATTCTTTCCCCAACCTACTGGGGAGAGGGAGGGAGCAAGTAGCTGTGTGCGTACTGGCAGGGGTCAACCCACAAGTATCTTCAGTGAACTTTTATTCCACCGCTGTCCATGCATTATTACAATGGGGATTGCTATAATTCTAAACAGCGCTTGTCCTTTAGGAGTAGAGAAAACAAAGTACCCACGCTCTCTGGGTAAAATGTCAGTGATATATGTGCCTTTCCACTGTATCTACACTGGGCAGACGCTATAACAATGCTGTCTGGGATCACCCAATGGCTGGAAGTGCTACTTCCCAGATGGTATCCCAAACCCAGATCCTGCCCACCACAGATTACTGGAGAGCTCACTCAAACTGTATCTTCAGTACAAAATACTCCTGTTTATAGTCCTACCATACTGGAGTCAGTTTTAAGCCTGGGGGTGGAAAAAAGCATATTACAATAATGTTTTAAATTACAAAAAGTACCTTGGTTGCCAGTGGTTTCCCCTACCCGCTTCACAGATCAATGTACTTAGCCATAACACTTTTTGTAAGATAAACAGATCCCTGCTAAGGAACAGTATTATAAACTGTCCTGTTAAAACTCCACCCAGAACACTTTTTTTATTTTTTAAGTTTATCCCATGTTTTTTCTGAACATTGTTCTCACCCCTTCCTATTCTCCACCTAGGATTTAACTGATCACAGCACAGCTATGCAAGTGCCAGGCATCACCGTAAGACCACCACAGTCACACCACTGATGACAAAGTGACAAAAAAAATTACAATTCACAAAGCAATCCAAGACTCTGAAGGAAAAAGTGTTACCGAAGATGTAATCGTGATATTGTGTGGTATCTCCAATCATTTACAATACCTGTTGTTGATTTTTAGTCATCTAGTCTAATCTTTAAAGTTTTGCTCAGCAACAAGCTTGCAGTGTCCACTGCACTTGGCTGGCAATTTTCACAACACTCTTACAGGTGGAATCCACAGAAAGCTAGCAACTATAAGTAGCAAACCATATTGAGAAAAACACCTCTAAAAAAGAACCCTCAAAACAAAAAGACAAGAACACAGATGCGCATCCACACATTAGTACAGTCTAGCTTCTGAATCTCAATAGCTCTGCAGTAAGCAGAGGGGGCTGGCTAAGAAATCTTGATTTAAGTGCCACAATTCACAGACTCTAAAGCCCAAAGTGGAATGACAGAGAAAGCAAGAATTCCAGGTTTTTGTTTGTTAGTTACTGATGAATCATCGAAGACTGTTTTCCCTTAGCAATACTTAAATGCAAGGCTTTATTCAGTCCTCATTCAAAGCTGTCATTTCCTGGTAATTAACTTCACAATGGCCTAGCCCTAGCGACAGTCACCAGAAGTGCCACAGGGAGCTGATTAATACAGAATTTATTTAAACTATGCTTGCTACTAGCAACAGCAATGCACGAAGGGAACATTTAAGCTTTAAGTTTTCCCTAACTAAATTTGCTCGTATGCAGAAAATACCTGGTGTCTCGTTGACTAAAGTTTTCTTCACTTACTTTACTGTTCATATAATTTTAAGATAACTACAGCTGTGTGCTGACCTACACACACACTAGGAACAAATAAGAGTTTGTTTGGAAATGTGCAACATAGTGCAACTTACTTTGGAACTTCTTTAATATATCTGTCATATGCAAGGGTATTCTTTCCAAAATTGATCTGTTTTTGTCTTCTCCTCAGAACCGCTTCATCTGTTTCCCTTTCAGCTGGATTAGCAGAATCACTTGAAACAGAACTTAAAAATAAAAATTAGAATTAAGTTGAGAAGAACCTTAATGCTTTACAACAAGTTATATAAACACATACTCTAGAACTGCATGTATGCTTATTCTGATAGACAGCAAGCACAACTCCACCAGTTTACAGAAGTGAAAGCTGTGCTAACCAAATTAATCATTACGACAAAAGACCAGGTTTTGCAAGTTCATGCAATTGCTCAGGTTTTTAAAAAGTAAACCCATACCTGAGCATACTAGTGCTAGAGCTGCCTTACTAGAAGCTTACAGCTAGTTTACAACAAGGAAATCAAATGATACACGATTATTGCATACATGTGTAACAACCTCCTAACATAAACATGAAAAAGCTTAAACTCAATAAAATGAAGATGGCTAATATAAAGGAGGCTAGCTTGAATGACCTGATAGCCATTTCTCTCCCCAAGTCTCAATGACTGGTTTTCATTTTTCCTTTCACTATTCCAGTATTTTCTCTTATGGAAAGCTGTAATGAATATGCAATTTAAGCTGAAAAAGAAGAGAATCTGAAATGACCATACAACGAGCTTTTGAGATAAGACTTCTCAGTGCTACTCTCTCCTTAAGGCTTCCTTCAGGCTTGATATGAAACAGCCTGGCTGTTTGTGCATGTAAAGCAGCCAGAGATCATCAGACAGCTATTGCTAAAACCAACGCAACAGTAGTTAATGATTATTCAATACTTACTTCGTCTTTTTTTTATTTGATGTCCTCATTGTTTTCCCTTCTTCAATTCTACCTTCCCAGTCAGGGCAACTAGAAAGAGGCCTCGAATCTTCTGGTGTTGAAGAGCTGGAAAATAATGAGAACTCAATATGAACATTTGTTGCTCATAACGTATTTAATGAACAGAAACTTCAATAGTGGACAAAAACAGCTCCACAACTGTAACGCCATGGGCATGCCCCTGCTCAGTTCAAAGTCAAACAAATTGAAACATTTCAGCTCAAGTCACCTTCAGCAGTGACGTAAAATTACCAGTTTTACTTTGCAGGGAAAGAAAATAGTCAAGAATTGAATTTCATGTCAGAACATAGACCTGACCATTTCTTAAAATACTCCCAGCTCAGCCAATGCAAATGCTTCTCTATGCTATTTGAGGACCTTCTCAATACTGCCATTCCATGAAAGAGCACAATTCATTCAATTACTTGAGGTCAAAATCATCAGCCTAGTCACTGCTCTGTCATCAGCTAAGGACTTTGTAAAGGACAGAGGAGATGCTTACGAAATAGAAAAATGCCCATTACATCAGCAGAACTAACATTTTGTCAGACACCATCATATCCCAACGTATCACTTCAAGAATGTAAACTCTGCTGTGTAAAGCCAAAAAGGGAGTCAGGAAGCTCTTACTTAAATAATCAGTTGGATCACTGATGTTCTCTGAGTGAAGAAACACCAGGTTCCTCATTAACTTCAAAAATATAATAAATGAAAACTCTATAATGCTGTAATATTCTGAAGCGCTGAATTCTCCTTTCAGTCTGTTGACTTCTTTCAATGTTGATGCCTCAACATTTAACATAAGTAGTATAGAAGTATATTTAGCTTACAGTCTTACTTTCCCTAAACGGTTTCACATCGACAGATGAGATTACCATCCATGCTGCCAATGTCATTTTAACACAACACAAAGATTCCACACTAAGAAGAAACATATCTACTCAGCAAAAGAGAAACACAAAATGCTACTAGCACATGCAGTTTGACTCACAATCGTAACATACTGTTAATATTTTTTATGATAGCATCATAAGACATAGAAAACACTCCTGAATACAGGGTCTTTTCTAAGCTCTTCAAAAGATTCATTTATTAACTTCATTTACTCCACCTGGAGCACTGTGTCCAGCTCTGGGGTCCTCAGCACAGGAAGGACATGGACCTGTTGGAGAGGGTCCAGAGGAGGCCACAAAAATGATCAGAGGGATGGAGCACCTCTGCTGTGAGGAAAGGCTGAGAGAGTTGGGGTTGTTCAGTCTGGAGAAGAGAAGGCTGCGGGGAGACCTTATTGCAGCCTTTCAATACTTAAAGGGCACCTACATGAAAGATGGGGACAGACTTTTTAGCAAAGTCTGCTGCAACAGGACAAGGGGTAATGGTTTTAAACTAAAGGAGGGTAGACTTTGACTAGATATAAGGAAGAAATGTTTTACAATGAGGGTGGTGAAACACTGGAAGGGGTTGCCCAGATGGGCGGTAGATGCCCCATCCCTGGAAACATTCAAGGCCAGGCTGGACCGGGCTCTGAGTAACCTGATCCAGTTGTAGATGTCCCTGCCCATTGTAGGGGGGTTGGACTAGATGACCTTTAAAGGTCCTTTCCATTCCAAAGCATTCTATGATTCTATCATTTATTAACTTCATATTAACTGATAAAAGATTCAATATTAAACACGCCATCAGAAATGACAATCGCCTTCATATAACGTAATACTCAGAGACATATAAATTATATAAAAAAAGTTTTCATCTTCCCTCAGTAAAATATTTCGTCTCCTCTAACTTAGATTCTACTCCGTTTTCTGCACATACCCAAGCACTCACCACTTTTCATACTTCCTGTCAGACATTAAGATACCAATCTCAATCACTTCTTCCACCTGAGGTCTTTAGTCTACAATATCGAAAAGTAAAGCAAAATACTCCTAGAACTACCCACCTATAAAATTTTATCTCATCTCAAATTGTCCTCAGTACTGGACTACAAAAAAGAAAAAAAAAAAAAAGGTATTTACTAAAAACTGTAGTACAGCTGAATATACTGAGTGCACTGTCAAGTGCAGAGACAAACATCATGGTTTGTCCACACTTACAGATGCGTAAGCAAAGCATAAAAAGTAACAGCATATTGCTTCAACGGGAGTTTTATACTAATATTGAAGAGTTCAGCAATAAAGGGCTTAAACTACTGCCTCAGTATATACCATTTCTCTCTTTCATATGAAATACTTGCTAATATTATGGCATGTATTTCAATTAGCCAAACTGAATGGTCTACTCGCATAATGCAGAGATCATTTGCTAACTTTATGCTACTGTATTATTAGAAAACATTTAATTTCATCACATCCAAGGTTTTGTTGGATTCCTAAAGAAAACAGTGCAGCAAAGTGAAGATTTAAAACTTCACATTTATTCCTTACCTCTCCAGCCATTGGTCTAAATGTCTACATTGATATTCATCAAACACCAAAGAATCTGAATCATTCCAACTTCTACATTCCTGTTCTTGATGCCAGCAGTGTGGATGTTGCACAGAACTAGAAAATAAGAATTTTCATCAGAAGTCAAGTCACTGGTAGTCACTGAACATTGCCTATACAAAACAAATATGGACAATCTTGAGTATCATCATTTATAATTACAAAATGCTGATTTGGCACCGATACATGATTTGCGTCAACTTACTCATTCAGGCAACACTAACTTAACAAAGGTGTTAGACAATGCATTTGCTGAGAAAAGGTCTTTGACTAATGCAACTAAGACATTAGAATTTTAAAATAAACCGTTAATATTTAGGTAACCAGTTTATCCTTTTTCTATTTGCAGACAAAAAGGGGGGAAAAATAAAACCCAACTGAGGACTGTCACCAGTGTTTATGGAACTGCTGACATGTGGCAACATTCATAGACCGTCCTCTGTCAGCAATGCATTATTTGACATTTATATACCATTCTATCCAGCACTAAACTTGTGGAAGAGGCAAATGTAGAAACATCGCTTCAACACAGGAAAACAGCAGGCCGAAGGAGAAGTAGGTCAAACATTTATGTAGAAATAATTTTACACAGGCAATCCTTCACCAGACACTGCTGCAGAGTCCTCACAAGCAAGCACGGGACAAGGAGCTAGAGTGGGGTGCTTGCAACATGCTGGAAGGACAGCCAGAGATTGCTTAAGAGTTACCTACATTTTCCTCCTCAGTTCTGTGACATCTTAAATGCTAGGTTAGTAAACAAAACACCCTCACAGCATCCACTAACATCAGGCCTGGCTTCTGGGCTGAGGCGCACACCTGCAGGTCAGCCACCGCCTGCCTGAGAGAACGGCCCTATACAACCCCACGCAGTAAACACGCTGTTGTTCTGTCTGTGCGAGTAAACAGTAAACATACTGTTCTGTACCTGCCAGGTCTCTGCGCTTCTTAAGTCAACAAGTGAGAGGGAAGGAAGGGACTTGTTATTTTAATCCTGGATTAACAGCCTGTGCTTTCTCTGCCTTCCTCCTCCGCCCTGACCGGCTCTGGGAGCGTCCTGCTCCCGGAGGGCTCACAGGTACCGACACACAGCGCAAACGCCTTACTCCTAACCACGGAGCGAGGCAAAAGGATGCTTGCAACACATTCGGTTTTCGAAAAAGCAGTGAACGGATAAAACCTTTCTCTAACCACCCTCAGCAACACTTACTCAATTGCAAGACTTAAAAGAAACAGGGCGGGGGCGAGCACAACACCTAGCATGCCTTAGGCACAACGCTATTTGAAAATCTAGGGAAAAACGCTAACTGAAAATCACGCCTTTTCGACATATTCCAGTATGTCTTTACTTCCAGTGCTCTGCACTCCCCGCCCACCCCAGCGTCAGCCCCGGTGACTCCCAGCCGGACTCGGGGCGTTTCGCCGAGCCCGCACGCTTCTGCCTGGGCCGGGGGGCATCCATCGCTCCCCGCCCGACTCCCTCCCCGCTGCCAGACGCGACCACAGCGACTCCGCACGGAGCCTCCCTCGCCCGGGGCGCGGGAGGAGGAGGGCGCCAAGCTACCAGCAGCTGCCTCTGCCCGCCGCCCCCCGCGGGTACCGCG